GCTCCTTCCAGAGAGGCAGCCCGGGGAACATCACATGGCATGGCAGGGCAGGGCTTTCCAGGCCCCCCAAAGAGACATGTGTACTCCAAGGAGCAGGTGGCACCAGGCCACCCTTCCCCTCTGTGGGGCACAGCTGGGCTCAGAGCCTCCCTCAGAGATGTCCACCCCTGGCAGTGCTACCACCACCAGCCCCTGCACCCTTGCTGTGGGGAGGGACAGGGAATCATCTCACTGAAAACTCCTCCTGGAGCTGTGCCAGGTTCTGGGCGTGCTGCTGCAGCTCCTGTTTCCTCAGCACGTGGCTGGATGTCCTCAGGAACTGCAGCGTGATGTCCCGTGGCGTGCAGACAGGCTGGATGGGCTCCACATTCCCCAGGGAGCTCATGTCCAGCACTAGCGACACGTTGGAGCCCCTCCTGAAAGGCAGAGGGGTCCCTGGKTGACCCAGCACAGCCCATCCCACTGAATTATCAGTTCAAACCACCCCACAGCCAGACAGAGACCCCAGGAGATGGGGGATTGAGGACCAAAGAACCAGCTGATCATTGGCCTTTTTGCTGGGAAGCCCCTGAAGGATGGTGTTGAGGTTTGTCCTGGGGCTGGGGCTGCACCCACACACAGCCATGGCACCTGCACATGAGAGTAGAAATTTTGGGGAGAGCTCCAGGGATGAGCAGTGCCCTGGCACCTGCATGTGAGGGCTGGCAGGGATTTTGGGTAGCCCTGAGGATGAGCGGTGCCCTGGTACCTGCACATGCTGGAAGGAATTTTGGGGAGCCCTAGAGATGAGCAGTGCCGTGGCACCTGCACATGAAGTCTGGCAGGCAGGAATTTTGGGGAGCCCTGGGGCTGAGCAGTGCCCTGCACATGAGGGCAGACAGGAATTTTGGGAGTCCTGGGGCTGAGCGGTGCCCTGAGTGCCCTGGCAGGGCTGGGCCACCCTCACCTCTCCTGGAGCCTCACGTGCTTCTTGGCAGAGGGGCTGGGCTTGTCTGGCTGGTCCATGGTGGCTGCAGCTGCCCAGGCTGCCCGGCTGCCCTCAGGAACTCTGGAGCTCACCAAGCAGGCTTGGACCATGCTGCAGCAGCCACGGAGCCCTCGTCCTGAAGGGTGGCACGGGGACACGGGGGGCCATCAGCTCCTGGGACATCAAGGAGCCATCAGAGGAAAAGCAGCTGGAAAAGAAGAGTCAGGTCTGAGAGATCTGGATGGACCCCCTGAAGGGTGGTCTGCGAGCATGGGGTGGGTTTTAGGTCCTCAGCTGTCCTGGAAGCAGAACCCCCAGCCCTGCGCCCAGGCAGATGGAGAGCTCCCAGCACATCCACCCTCCRGGGTGCCTGCAGCACTCAGCCCCACAGGTGCCACCGGTGGGCATGGCACCCATGGGGAGGACACCGCTCCCTGTGCTGGCTGTCTGCTCTGAGGGAGCCCCAGGTGCTCCCCACCTCCATGGAAGCACATCCCTGTGCTCCCAGCCCTTCCCACCATGTCCCTGCTTTGGCTTGGGGACACCGTGGAGAACAGGGAGAGATGGAAGGATGGGCACAGCAGGTGACACGAGCTGGGCTGGAGAGGGAGATGGAAGGATGGGCACAGCAGGTGACACAAGCTGGGCTGGAGGGACAGCAGGAAGGATGGGCACAGCAGGTGACACAAGCTGGGCTGGAGGGACAGCAGGAAGGATGGGCACAGCAGGTGACACGAGTTGGGCTGGAGCCGCTGCACAAAGCAGCCACTCCTGGCCAGCTCCTGCTGTAGGTGAAAAAGTCCAGGCACCCTCAGCAGCCTCATGGCCCTGGCAAGGGAGGGATGGCCCCGGGACAGACCCCTCCATCCTGCAGCTCTCAACAGCTGCCAAGAGGAAACTGCTTTATCTGGGTGGTTGAGCAAGAGGCGATGGGGCAGCCCAGCTGGGGAAGGTGTCACAGATCCCCCATCACCAAGGGTCAGCCCCTGGCAGGGCCGGGGAGATGCAGATGATGCTGCTCCACCTCTGGGCAGAGCTCCCCATGGTGCAGGCAGCACCCTGAGATCCTGAGCCTTCCTCTCATCCCCAGCTTCCTCTGTGAGGAGGGGACAGCCCTGCAGGGACAGGGAATGATACAGGGTCAGAGCTTTGGGTGAGCAAAGAGCAGGATCCCAGGGAGCCCATCTGCTCAGGGAGAGCCAGGGCCTCATGGTGGTTGGGTGGGAGCTGCTCCCTGAGATTCCCTGCAGCTCGGTGGCATATCCGGGAGTGGCAATGCCACCACGGCCACCACCATCCCCACGCCCCACACTGATGTCCCGGCGTTCTCCATCCAGGTAGGACAAGAGATCCTGACCAGCAGAGATCCTGACCAGGACAGCCCAGGCTGCCATCCCAGCCGCTGTCCCTTACTCTCCGGCCAGGGAACGGCCGGGGGATGCCCTGGCCAGCAGAGGGGTGCTGGGAAGAACCTCAGCCGCCAGCACCTGCAGGGACAGTGCCCACATCACCTGCCCGGCATCCCAGCCCCACCAAGGGCTGCCCATCCACAGGAACGTGCCCACTGTCCCCAGGAACGTGCCCACCATCCGCAGGAACGTGCCCACCGTCCCCAGGAACGTGCCGACCGCCCTGGGCACGGGGGTCTCCTGTCCAGCGGGCAGCGAGGCYGGGCCGGGGGGCTGCCTACCTGCGGCCCCGTGGCGTGGGCTCGTCGGTCGGGGCACAGGCCCGCGGGCACGGCGCGTGTCGGTCTGACAGCACGGTTTGAAAGTGTTCAGGAAGCTGCTTATCAAAGGAGCTGCTGCCTCTGCTGCTTCCTCTCCCTCCTTCTCCCCCACCCCGCTGCCGCCCACACACATACCGGCCACATCTCTGCAGCTCGGCTCCGCCGGGCCGCCTGCACACCCAGCCCTGCTCCCCACCGGCCAGCCGGCCTTGGTGCTGCGCCTGCGGGCACAGCCTGGGCTCCTGGACACCCGGCAGTGTCCCCATGGGCATGGTCTGGCCTCCTGGACACCCGGCAGTGTCCCCATGGGCATGGCCTGGGCTCTCGGACACCCGGCAGTGTCCCCACAGGCATGGCCTGGGCTCCCTCACACCCAGCAGTGTCCCCACAGGCATGGCCTGGGCTCCCTCACACCCGGCAGTGTCCCCACAGGCATGGCCTGGGCTCCCTCACACCCGGCAGTGTCCCCACAGGCACGGCCTGGGCTCCCAGACACCCAGCAGTGTCCCCACAGGCATGGCCTGGGCTCCCGGACATCCAGCAGTGACCCCATGGGCAAGGGCTGGGCTCCCTCACACCCGGCAGTGTCCCCACAACACGCGGCAGTGTCCCCACAGGCATGGCCTGGGCTCTCGGACAACTGTCAGTGTCCCCACAACATCCAGGAGTGTCCTGACAACACCCGGCAGTGTCCCCACAGGCCGGGCTGGACTTCCTGACACCTGGCAGTGTCTCCATGACACCCAGCAGTGTCCCCACGGGCAGGGGACATCCTTCCCAAAAGCCAGCAGTGTCCCCACGGGCACAGCCTGGGCTCCCGGACACCCGGCAGTGTCCCCATGGGCACCTCCGATGGGGCTGGCAGGGTGTGTGTGATGCCCTCTGTGACAAGCCACTGTCAGCACTGGTGCCACCCACCTGTGGGACAAGGCAGGGCCATKGAGGGCACAGCAGGAGGGTCGAGGCAGGATGCTTCTCATGGTGCAGGGGTGCTGCTCTGAGGGCACCACACCCCACCTGCCCCACAGGAGGCCAGGATGGATCCCCCATCCCTGCTGTCCTGCCTGTGTCCCCCTGCTCGGGCTGTGCTCCAGGTGTGCCCATCCCACTGTGGGATGTGCCAGGGCTCGTTCAGTGCCTCCCATCCTTGGGGTGTGTGCTCCTTGTGCCACCCACTGTCTCCCAACCTGTGTCCATGAGGGGACACCCCTCTGCACCCCCAGCCATCCCTGGTACCTCGGGGGAAAGCCCTGGGCTGCCCGTGCCCAGTAGGGAAGGGCAGGGGTGTATTTGGGGAGGAAAGGTCCCTGGAGGCCTGGCTCAGGTGGGACAGGTCTGCCCTGGGGCACAGCACATCCTTCCTGACGCATCCCCGCCGCTCTTCCTGTTTGCTCTCGCCGGGCTCTGCACGCTTCCTTCCTCCTCAGCCCGCACCCTGCTGCACCCCACAGCCTCCGCAGACCCCAAACACCTTCCTGTGTCTGCTCTGCGGGCTGTTCCTGCTGTCCCAAACAGCCCTGGCCCAAACCCCTTCCAGCCCAACCAGCAGTGGTGACAGTGACAGTGCTGTCCCYGAGCAGCCAAAGCCCGAGCCCCCTCCAGCCCAGCCTGTGGCTGTGACAGTGACAGTGCTGTCCCCAGGCCAGCACTACCGCTCAACCCTGCCACATGTCTGTGACACCTGGGTGTTCTCAGGTGTGCCAGAACAGCCCTGGGACACCCTGGCAGTGCCACCTTCCGCCCAAGGGATCAGAGATCAGCGGGCCCAGGCTCCAGAGCCAAGTGCTGGGCTCAGCYGGCAGCAGAGCAGCTCTGTCCTGGAGATGAGGCCACCAGCACTGTGCCTTACCTGCAGATCCCAGAGTGGCCAGAGGATGGACTGAGGAATTGCTCCCTGCCCTGTGYGGGATGAAAGAACACATCTGTAAGGTGCAGAGGCAGCCCCACCATTCACTGCCCTCCCTCCCACCCGTCCCTGACAGAACTCAAGAATTCCCAAGATAACCAGCACTGCAGGACTGAACGAGGTGGCTGCATAAAGGTGGTTCAGTAGGAACCAGAGTGAACACAGAGGGTTCTTTGATGGAGTACCAGGCTGTCAGACACGCAGAAGCTTCCTGAGGCTGGGTCTGTGTCTGCTCTCTAAGTGAGGAGGSCACCTGTCCCATTTGGGTATCCTTGGGCTTCAGGGGTTCCTGAGGAGGCAGCCAAGGTGCAAACCCCTGGAGCTGCTGTTCCTGCCTTTTGCTGGCCTGAGTGCTGCCTCCTCACTGCCCTGTCCCTGTGCCACTGGTGGACAGCTGAGGGACAGCTCAGTGTGGCACTGGGGCAGACACCACAGGGCAGCCAGCACATGGATGTCACCGGGAATGTGTCAGTGACATCGGTGTGTCCACACTCCCTCCCAACCTCCCCAGCTGCCAGGCACCTGTGACAGGGAGGATGGAGACAGCTGACCCTCACAGACCTCGTAAGRTCCAGGGAACGTCCACAAATCTGCCGGGACCCCACAGGAGCAAAGCAATGGGGCTGTGACAGCTGGGCTGGTCAGGGTCCAGGAGACACCACAGCACATCCTGACCCTCTGCACAGAGCATAGTGAACAATACCAGTCCTTGGGAGCTGGATTTTGGCTGCTTTTCTCCAAAGGAATGGGAATCTTTTAGCAACACACAAAGATACAAACTCCATCTGCAAAAGGGGTATGGAACAAAGGATTTAATGGAGGCCAGGAGCTCTCTGTGTGCTGCTCATTCCAGTGATCGGTGGCCCAGTGTGACTTAAGAGATTTGATGAACATTCCAAAGGATTTGGGATCCCCTCAGCAGGAAGTCCCTTCTTYCTCCCACCAGGTTCTGCCTTGGCTGTGAGATGCCACTGGAAGCTGCAGGGAAGATGCTGATGCACTTTACAGAATGGCTCCTTTGGTTCCACTAGKATTTGGCCATGACAATGGACCACACTCAGGGTGGAAAGAGGAAGCTGAAATGCTGGGATGCAGTGTTTCCTCTGCCTCTGAAGCCTCACARCACCAAGGTCCTCGTGCTCAGGGAGGTCCCCAGAAAAGCCTTGCAGAACTTTCCCTCTGCTGCTCACAACCACCCCGTGCTGCTGGCTTGGCTCTACCAATCACACACGTGCGACCAAGCAGGACACCCAGAACACAGCCTGGAAACTGCACCTGCCCCCTTTGGTTTTTCCTCATGCAGGAAACACTGATGGAGACTGAAAGGGCTGTCCTGGCCATGGCAACTCACCCAGGGCAGAAGGAACGCAGGAGGGAAGTAGGGATGGAGTGTGAGGATGTGCCATGGCCCAGGCTCCTAGAGCAGAAAAATCTGCCCTGCTGAGACATCTTGACCCTTACATGCCTCTGATGGTGCACAGCTGGACCCCAGCGTGCTGCCACCTGCCAGCATGGCTGCTCTTCCCCCTTGTGCCATGAGGGAGGTGCATTGGAAGGGAGAGGTGATGGGAGAGGGCACAGACCTGTGGAGACCCACAGCATGGAAATGAAGGTGGAAAATGAGGCATGAGCTGGTGGAGACAGCCTGGATGTGAGGGAGACCAGGAGCAGATGGAGCCAGAACACCCTGCTTGACCCAGGGCATGTCTCAGCTCTCAGTGCCACTCCTGCAGCGARCTGTCCCCTGCCCCTTGTCTGCTGCCCTCCTGGGACTGATGCCCACCCCCGAGGTACACGACATGTGCACACCCACACGTGCACAGCCAACTTCCCTGGTCACTCATCAGTGCCCATCCGTGCAGAGACCTCGAACAGTGAAACCCAGACTTCCCTTCCTCCCTCCCCAAAATGCATTTTTGRGCTCATCACTCCTGGCCACCTCTGAGCCCCTGCCTGGAACACGATGCTGCCAGCTGTCTCCCCCTGAGGGACACGGGCTGGGCTCATACAGGGGTGCAGTGGGGAGCAAAGAGCTCGGCGGTTCTCTGGCCAGGAATGTGCCTTCTGTGTGCAGCTGCACTTGTCCCATGTCACATCACCAGCTCTGCACCAGGCTGGCCCAGGGAGCAGAGGGGGAGCTGCTGGACCCTACAGGCAGGGACTGCTGGGGCTTTGGGGGGAGATGGTGTCCAGTCTGGGGGCASATCCCAACCCAGGGTCAGTTTGCTGTAAGGACAGGACCAGGACACGAGGACAGCCATTGCAATGTGGGGTGGGCAAAGAGGAATCTGACGGTCTCTGGAGGGCAAAACCCGGGAGGGGATGGGAGGAAGCAGCACTGAAGGGAATGGCCCAGGGCAGGGGATGCCATAGGTCACAGCTGTGCCCCTCTCCTTCCTGCTTCCCTCCCCTGGTGGAGAAGGACTGGTGAGGTCCCAGAACAGGAACATCCTTTGTCCCCCAGCACTCCTTTCTGCTGTGACCTTGCTGGCAGTGGGATGTTGGAGTGGTAGTGATGCCCAGAGTGGTGTTGGGAGGGTTGGTGATGGAGGGATGGGCATGGAGGGAACAGTCCCAGCTGTCACCACATGAGCCATTCACACTGGCCTAACTGGGGATGGGCCAGACATGGGATCCCCTGTGTCCTCCATCAATGGACAATTGAGCATTAGGGTTATCTGTTTGGATGAAAGGACTAGAGAGGTCAGTGACAGAGTCTCAGGGGCCTTGAAGGGTTTGTATGGCTGTGGGGTTACTTTCAGTAAGATATGGGGGCCCTGTGGAGTTGGTGCTCTGGGCAGGGAGATCTGGGTTTATCCCTGACTGCTACTTGCTGTTTGTTCACTTGCATTTTAAAACTCCACTTCCGTGGGCTCATCTTGCACCTCTGGCCACAATTTCACASCCAGTGCCCTTCATGCAAAGAGCACCTTCCAGCTCCATGCTGGCACCTGTTTGCCCACTTACAGCCAATCCTCATGGCCATTTCTGCCCCGCAGTGTCCCTGCCCTGACCCACACCCCAGCACCTCTCCTCACCCTCTCCAAGCAGCACYATAGCCCCAAAGTCAGCTCAGCCCAGGCAAGCACTGAGCTGGCGCCCAAAACACAGATGTTGCCCAAAAATCTCAATCCCCAGGGTTGTCCAGCACACAATGGCTCTGTCCCA